AGGTGGAGGAGGTTCTCGACTACCTTCTCAATTGTGCTGGAGCAAACTGAATTAAAGAAGACAAGGCAAGAGCACGTCTTAAAATCTGGGAAGGTAAACGTCGAATTAATAGATTATTCAAATAAAAACGCAGCGTTGAAAGTCTTAATGTCTCTTGGTAGGCATGTTAATTTGCCACAGTTATTACCAATAAAAAGTGCATGTAATACTGTTTTACCGTTTAACTGCGCAAGTTAGACGACTTTTTATTAGTAACGGGTAGTAGTATGGGAAAATTAGGTGTCGGTGGTGGAGGCAGGCAGATGAAAGACCTCTTCCTGGTGAAAGCCATTCAAATCAGAGATGACTCCGAGAAGAAGTTAAATACAAACCACGTACAGTGACCGATATTATAAAACGTTATTGACACGGTTTCCTGGTTTGTTTATGGCAAAGACTTGGCCAGCTATATTTAAATGACCCCACTAGCTATGCGTTCTCCTCATTGTGCAGAGTCAAATTAGTGGTGTACTTGTTGTAATAAAATGCATACCGGCTCCGTGCAGTGGATAAATCCGTTCCTTTCTGAAGCCCTTCAAAAATTATGCTAATCAAATCAGCGCAAGAACTTGTCTTTTGAAATGATAATATTTTACTCCATTAAACTCTGATTGCTAAATTAACCCCTTTTCTGTATATAAAGCAATATTTATTTCTTTTCTTTTTTTTTTTTTTAACTGCAAGCGCGAAAATATCAGAAACCTAATCTGTTGCTCTTTGTGTTTGGGGGAAGAGAAGTAATATTAACTGATTTAAACTTTCCTTCCACCGAAATCACAAAAATAGATTTTCATAGAGAAAAGACAGGCAGATGGAGGCAAAAAAGACACCTACGTTTTGCAAGGGTGGGCACGTATACCTAGCATGTGTAACATATGTATGTACGTGTACATATGTATGGGGATTTGTGTCTCTCATGTGTGTGCGCGTATCGACACACACTCTGAACTGAATTGTATCCATTCTCCTGGGATCACAGTATTTATTTAAGTACTCTTCCTAGGTCATAACTGTAACACTCACTTAATAGCATTAATCCCTTGTAATGTAAACACAATGTCCATTGTATTCCCAATCTGCATTGTTCCACTAATTATTAAAGAGGAAGAACTAAAAGCAATCAATTCTCGTAGATAAACACTTACACCTCTCCTGCTGGAAAAGAGCAGACTTGGTTATCCAAATAAAAATGCAGAGAGTATAGCACATTTTGCAAGGCATGCAGGTTGACTGAGAGAGATTCATGTATGACTTTATAATGTTATAATTAATTTTGCATTCTCAGCTCTCCAGCTGCTGCTCCTTTCAGCAGCAGAGCTCATATACTTAGAAAAGCGGACTGCGGAACACAGGAATTGACTATTCAGATGTTATCGCATGATATCGATTATTCCATAGAACTACTGAAATATGAATGTGTTTTATATAAAGCTCTTGTTTTTAAAGTTACTATTTTTATTTAATATATGCGCATTAATCACCAGACAGGGAAGCAAATGTCTTTTCTGTTATCTGTTGCATTGAGTTTACCAGTTGTTTATCACTCTCTTATCAGGAAGTCGGGAGTTAATGACAAGAAATACCTGTTGGTGTTAACCTCCTCCCCCTCACCTGCTTTTTAAAGGATTGCCTCTTCTACAGGCCAGCTGATAGGTCTGGATAAGAATTAATCCGGTGTGTCTGGTGGCCAGATCTCTACTGCTGCGTGCAGGGCAGGGGTAAACTGGTATGTGGGTTTCACAGAAGAGGAAAAGAGGAAGGGAAATAAATAAAAAATCAGATAGAAAAAGAAAACTGAAAGCTCGGATTGCTTCAGACAGTCTACACATCCCGGTATTTTACTGTAGTTTCAGTACTGCGTTTTCCCTGCTGTGTCCGCAAGGCTCTTGAAAAGGCTTCTCGAAGTGATTTTTTTTATTAGCTGCATATTTAATTGATTAACAATAGGCTGCCCTGCTAACCCTCGATTCTTCAGCTTTCGCCATCTCCTCTCGCTCGGTGGTGAGTCAATACCCCTGCGCCCCTCATCAGGTGCGTTTTCCCCATCCTAACTTGCCGAAATGACCTGTGGTATTTCATGAACAAGTCTGCCGCAAACGTCAGGCGACTTCATTTGGCTCAATATGGGATAAGTGCTCACTCACAGATGTCGGAAAAATAAAAAACACGTTTGGATGAACATTTTTTTTCCCCTTTATTTTGTGTGTTGCTGTTGTTTGTTTGGTTTTCTTTGCTTGTTGTTTTCGTTGGGGTTTTTTTTTATTTTGAGAGAGAGAGCCTAAACAATTTTTTTCCCCCCCCCCAACTCGTCCCGGGCTGGTAAACCAGCAGATGTTGTGCGTGAAGGGCTTGCGGGAAGCGCGATGGCTTCCAGCCCTGCAACCCCAGAGGTCCCTTCCCTACCTGCCGGCCGGACCCTGCCCCGCGGGGGGGTGCGG